ATTTCATTATGTTAACTGTAGACAAAAACACCACAACTGTTTTATACAACTTGAAAATCATTGTATGTGGTGACGAGTGTTACGTGACAAATAAAGTTTAAACCCTTACATTAGCCTGTGGCTTCCACCTTTTCAACAAGAGCGAGGGATATGAGCGGGGTCATAACCTTCAATTAGAGGAAAAAGCTGACCTTGGGGTGAGGGGCATTTTCTAACTTTAGCAGTCATGAGTGCTTGTCAAATGCCCCGCTATGTCCCGGGCGGGGGGTGCGGGGGTTTGCATTGCCTGGTGCATTATCCCGGTTTACTTCATTAAAATTGTGGCTTTCTCCTGCAAGCTGAAGACAGGTGCTTAATTATTTCACGGAGGAGGTTTCTCCAGCGTTCTGTTACATAAATCGATCAATATTGTGGAAGAAACAATATACAGAGAAAACATTTTGTTGTCTAAGCATTATATAAAACAGTCTACATCTCCTCCGTCAAAACTTTGCGCGCACTGACGATCCCGCCAGCTGCGCAGGCTGCCCCACCAAGAACAAGCAGTCCTTTCACAGACTCAAAAACTGCTTTCCATGATGCCTTGTCTATGGGTAGGCAAACCTGTTTGCCACGCATGCGCAGTAGGTAATCATGATTTCCGAGGAGTTCCAGTGATAATGGTATCACTGTTCTACCTGTACCCGTACGCGGAATCAGTGTGTGTCTTAAGGTCTCTTATACCAGAAGTACTGCACCGATGTGGCACCTGACTATTGTTATTGCAATCTGCCCGTATTCATTGCTGCGGGTGATGGTATGCTACCTATACCACCGTACACAGAAACAGTGTGTACCGCAAAACAGATCAACTTGACATCCTGGGCGTTTATATAATTTTAGGGGTCCAAGATAGGGCTTTTAAGGAGGCGTTTAAATTCATTTTTGCGTCAATCTCTACCAAACAAATCTGGTTCCGGCGAAAACATCAAGAGCGTCTATTGATTATAGTGGAATATCCAGTCAATCAATTATTAATATATCTATATGGCTTGCCTTCTAAAGAGATCCATATCCGCTGTTTCAAATCTCAACTTCGATGTCAGAATACTCGTTCGCGGTCGTTGTGTAGTCATCGTTAGTCTTTCCTTACTTTGAATTGATATTAAACAAGATGCAATGCGCAAACCTTCTATAATCAAACAAGAAACATTACATTGAATGATCTTGCTCCTATTTGCTTGTCCTAGAATTTTAGATAACTGTCATGGGGGTCGACGGAGAAAGTGCAAACGTGATACAGCTTTGTACGTTGTTGATCTTCTCGTTTCAAAACTGAGTCGTATGTGTAGCTTAGATAAACAAATTATATAGCTACCGATCATGATAGACTTAAGGCCACTTAGCCAGGAAAAAAATAATAATACGCGTGTTAAATAAGACTCGAACCGTACCAAATATATGTAGGGGTAGATCTTACATAAGACAAGAACAGCTCGCATAATTGATTCGCCCCCGGTTGAAGCCTTATTTCTTGGCAAATAATCGCTTTCATTCAAATGCTGCCAGTAGCAACGGCAATCCAACATGGCGCGTGCTAAAATAACGCAGGCGTAATATACGATTGCGTCTTTTATAAGACGCGAACAGTGGCTGGTAATCGGCTCCTGACGCGAACGAGTCATTGATACGAGGTCTTCGTCTTGGCTAAGAAGCGTCTTATCTAAACACAGCTGCTACGAGTTGTTCTTTAGATAAAGCAAGTGAATACATAAATAAAACGTCTTAGCTAATAAGTTGCGTCTTATTTCAGACAACATGCATGTGCCAATTTATACAGGATGTGTGCGTCTCACGAAAGACGCACCTTTTCAGAGACGCGTTTTATTCTATTCTAGTTTCTTCGAATAAATGGTCTCCAGTGTTTCACTACTGGTTATTAATTAATTTAGATACAGTTTATAGTCAATTGTGGAACTTCTTTTTGGTTACTTAATACTTAAGACTAGCCTGAGAGCAAAAGGCGTTATTTGGGTCGGTCAGGCGACGTTTGAGGTGCGAGCACCAGAACCCTCTTGATCGCCCTTAATAACGCTTGCTGGGAAGGCTATTTAAAACTATCAGAGGAGTCTTAAATTCGAAGTCATGGTAGTGACGTCTTTAAAACGGATATCTTCCTAATATTTGCTTTGCCTCTTCGGTTTCCGCATACAGGGCTCAACTGTACGGACTAGGCTTCTACTGGTTTGATTTTCATTTCAGCCCGTTCGGCGGAGTAATGATAGCCTTTCCAGGGATACCAGTCTACACCGTTAGCATAAGAGGAGTGATTCCCATTAAGATAGCGACCATTCAAGTTGGAGCTGTGACAAGCACTATACCACCAGGCTCCCTCACATAAAATGGCACAGCTCGCGCCCGAAGCTTGGTCATTGTCTTGATCTTTAGCGGAGAATGACATATTTCGATGCCATGTAAGAGAGTCACCAGCAGTTCCTAAAATGATAAACACAAATCTCATTTCCTACTGTAAATTTTTTGTAATAGTTCAAAATAACGTTTCTTTAAACGATTTGGGAGGAAAGTGAAAGAGTACTCTAAATAAGTAAAATGGGCAATCCTACCCTCAAAAATTGCGCATTGTGAACGTATGCTACAGTCTACTAGTATCCACTCTGTCACACTGTTAGATCTTTAATTATTTTATTTCAACATTGACTTGGCGTTATTTTTCCTTGTAAGAAACAGTGAACGGGTGAACAATAAACCAAGTCGACCGTGAAAGGACTAGCTCCCTGATTTGGTAGAGCACTTGACTGCAATAGCGGAGATTGCAGGTTCGAAACCTGGATCGGACAATTTCTCAAGGTCTTGAAATAACTTAGAAATGAAAGTACAGCCTTTGCTTTGCAAGCGGCTTCACACTCACGCGGCAGTTCAGTCTCCAGTGGGAGTGTCCTCAGTAAGCACTTTCGACCTAAATACAATTAACACTTGAATATACCTCGTTGGGAAGATAGTTCTCAGCACGAATCTTGGAACAAAGAGGAGAATGGGACAGAGAGGGAAACACCCATTCTCGCCCTTGGAATAAGTGAATTTCACTTAATTATTTTTACACCAATTAAACTCTTGAAATTTATCGGAAGTTGGTTTCTGGAGAGGTCGCAAACTTTTATTCCGTATTGTCAGATAGAGTCGGGGTTATTATGCTCTCTTGGTGTGAGGCCATAAGGCCCTGTCCACACTAATGCGTTTTCAAAAGTAGGCGTTTTAGTTGCCAGCGAAAACGCATCGATCGATTCGCGTTCAAAACTACCGTTTTGATGTGTTTTTGACTGTCCACACTAACACGTTCACTAAACGGTAGAATTGCACGTTGTGACCCCTTACCAAACCATATGTATTTTGAAACTGATTTTAAAGTATTTAAAATGTATTTTCAGTATTTGAACACTATTTTCCGTTATTTTAATACTATTTGACAAAAGAATTTAAATTTTCGCCCCTGTTTGAAATATATCTTGAGTGTAGTTAAATTGTATTTCATGTAAAGGAAAACCTCTCTCATCAATTTACAATGTATTTTGTTTAATAAATATGATTAAAATAGAGTATTTAAAATGTATTTTGGGCATGGAACCACTAACACTGTTACAAACAGAGTTCAAATAGACTATTTGAAATATGTTTTAAGGGCTTTTATGCTGACTGTAATTAAGATACTTTTAAATAGGGTACTTTAACTCTGGTTTGAGTTGTATCTAAAATGTATTTTGAGACGCATCCACTCACAAAGTTATAAACATAGTTCAAATAGACTATTTGAAATATGTTTTAAGAGCCTAAATGCTGACCGTGTTTTAAATCCTTTTAAATAGGGTACTTTAACACTGTTTTGAGTTGTATCTAAAATGTATTTTGAGACGCATCCACTGACAAAGTTACAAACAGAGTTCAAAAAGACTATTTGAAATATGTTTTAAAACCTTAAGAACTGACCGCATTTTAAATACTTTTAAATAGGGTACTTAAACACTGTTTTGAGGTCTATTTGAATTGTATTTTGGGCACACAGCACTCTGACTATAAAAACAGATTATCCATAAACTATTTGAAGTCTGCTTAAAGTCATCAAATGCTTACCTTATTGTAAATACTTTAAAGTAGTGTACTTCTAACTTTTTTCTAGTAGGGTGCAATACTGTAATGTCTTTTGGGAGACTTATACTCAGACTATAAATAAAAGTAACAATTGCACAAAGTTAATTTTTAAGCCTTCATCGTGTCACGAACTTATAAATGACTCAAAACAAGCTGTCACATATTGTGGACCGGATTCTCCTCCCAACAAAGTTCGAAGCTGAGCGAAAAATTAAATCTAAATTAAATGAAAAAAGAGAAGAAAATTAGGAATAGGTTTTCGCTTTGACTGCATGACAACACGTAACTGTGACAGTGTTCCGATAAAAGATCTATCCGTTCCTCACTGTTCATTACCTGCAAGCTCTCTGCGAAAATCTCCGCGTAGATTTTAGCCGTGATTCAATTAATGCAGTTAAGGGACTTTCCATAAGTTTTTTAAAAGAAACTTCTTAAAATCGCATTTTAATTTCATATAGAAATTTTTTCACAAACAGCCGAAGCCGAGGGCCGGGAACCGGATGCACGCGGTCAACAGAGATTTATCTAAAATAAGCCCTTGAAATTACATAATAAATAAATTATCCAAGCTAAGATCTCACCTCATATATATTGCATCAAGAAACAAAGCTCAGATATGAATAAACTCCGACATATGGTTATCTTTCACTCATAGATTATTCCGCACATGCATGGCATATTATTTCTAAGATGTCACGCGCGACTGAAATCACGACTTCGCGCCGCGGTGATGTGACAAATGCACGTGATAAACAAACCGTCCTTTGTCCTTTGCTCATTTCAAATTATTCTACCGGCGGTTGCTGTGATGGCGGGTGCGCTTGATTTTACTGTTTGTTACGATCTTACAAAAGTATACATTTCAACTCTGCGGATTGTCTGAACACGTAGATGTTGCATTTATCACGGATCAAAAATGGGTATGACTCCTCAGCGACTGTTATGTACTTTGAAAGGATCTGGTTCAGTTTCTCTCCGAAGCACGCGGTCTTGTGCTGTCTTGTGTGTTAATCCAAGAGTCTTCTGTTATGTGAGTATTATACACAATATATGCATAACATGTTACTAAGACGCTTAAGTATACGCCATATGAGAGACAAATGAAGGGTAGTAAACATTTATATACTCCCGCCTGTACGGCAATTTTAGTTTTTACAGGGTTTCATGCTCAGCCTCGCTGTTCTCAGTCACTTGATGTCACGTCACCGACCTCTTTCATGCTCGTGTAAATTTGATGGTGTTATTCTTATGTTGTTCTTTATTAGCCAATAATTAAACGTTCAGGCGTAGCCTGCAAGCTTCTGATAATAATTGAGTAAAGCCGTGAATTTAATAAAAAATGTAAGTTACATGTATTTAGATTATTATTTATCGGTAACGTAACGCAATACTCTTTTGAAGCGGAAGATTGATAGCCTGTGTACCGACTCCTTTCCCCTCCGATTTTTATTGAGGGGAGGAGGTTTGTACACAGGCTAAAGATTGATTTCAGCATTTCTGAAAAATTCCATGAGAATTTCCCGAGAATTCGTAGGGAAATCAACGTAAAGTAATCGGCTAAGAGATAATTCCGGTGAAATGCTAGCGTAGGACTGTGTGGAGAAATTTCGCAGAAGTAAATCTTGCTTTTTCAGAGTAATTTTCGACGGTTTTGTATTCATTTTATTTCATGAATTTAACTGGTATTTTCATCCTGTTTTTGTACTGTTTTTGTGCTCTTTCGACCGATTTTTGTACTGTTTTCAGACAACTCTAAGGCTATTTTCTTACAATTTTATACTGTTTTTGCATTTTTGCATCCTATTTTTGATGTATTTTCACAATATACGCGTGCTATTGCTTTTCTTCCTCTGTGGTATTTTAATACTATTTTCAAAGTATTTTTATTGTATTTGCAAATACGATTATTTTACTAAATTTCGAAACCCATTAAAAAGCTATTAAAATATATTTTGAAGCATAACATTTTAATAGCGTTTTAAACAGGTTAAAACACCTTTAAAATACGTTTAAAATTGCCATTAAAAATAGTTTTAAAATAGTATAGCAAATTAAAATATGTTTCTGAAACTGTTTTTATCCTGTTTTTATTCCGATTTATAAGATATTTAAAAACTATTTTCGACCTGTTTTGAGCCTTGCAAAAGCCCTGGAATTTTTTATATATTTTAAACGAATTTAAAAATACAAAAAATTATTTTATAATAGCGTTTTAAACAGGTTAAAACACCTTTAAAAGCAGTCGAAAAATACATTAAAAATACACTTTTCACCCTATTTAAGAGCCAGTCTCCGTAAGATCCTCATATCGAGTTTTGCCCACGAAATGGATTTCGCTCATAATTTTTCTGTAGACTTCTTTTAATAAGTATATAACAAATATGAAACTAGATTGGAGAAATACGCTTCTGCAAATTTTTTTAACGAATTTTCTTTCGGCGCCACACGAGGACCTGAGATGCTTGTGAAATATGCAAATTTTGTCAAAATTCAACCGATTGCTCCGGATAAAAGAGTGCGACCCAAAGCTTCCAATTTACTAGTTGATTTAATTGAGCCTTTATCTTTAAAATAATACAGGTCAGAATCATCAACACCTTTTCGTTTAGAAAATCTGAGGAAACACACTTAACCCCTTTGACCCACTTAGCGAAACATACGATTTTAGCCAAATTCAGTGGATTAAATCTCAAAAGTGGCTCACACTTACAGACTCTCCTACATATCATTGTGTAGTACAATCCTTCAGCTGGTGAATCGTGTTAAAAGTTTTGGCGGCCATCCAGTTTCGGTCGACGGGTGAGTGGCGAAATTTGCCTTACTTTGCCATTTCGCAGGCGTTTCGCCATCGTGAAGTCCAGAAGGATTGTCAGAATAGAAAGCGAGAAATCGGGTATATGCCACTCGAAAATTGTCCATTCATAAAGACTGCATACTTTCGATCACTGTTTTCCATGTGGCTACGGTTTTAACCCAAGCAAGAAGGGGTAGAGGACGGTGGAACGTGAACTTACTGTCCGCCATGTTTTTGTAGGGTTTGTGGAAGCTAGGAATCTGGAATCCGGAATCCGGAATCCGGAATGCGGAATTCGCAACCCTATCAACGTCACCTGTTGAAGCTTATTGTATGGTTTTATACTTTCTTTATTAGCCGAAACTCAATTCGCATTACAATAATTATTTCATCTTTAATTTAACGGGATATTGACCAGAATGTCTCAAAAACCTCGGCCTACTATTCAAACGTGTCCTCGATCAGCTGCTACATAAATAATTATAGAAAATAAGTTGTCAAAACAGCAAACAACTTGGTATACTTCCATTATTCAGCTTCTGAATCATTCTCAGACATTTACT